GCCATTTTCTCCGTCACCATCTTTTCCAGTCTGGTGCTGGCGTCGCCCACGGCGTCGTCGATGGCCGTCCTAAGCTCCTCATGAGTCGGGCCGGCCTCGCTCCCGCCAGAGTTCCGAGAGTCTTCCGAAGACATGTGTGTCTGCCGCACTAGACTAGTCTATGGCGTTAACGCCACAAACTCTAGAGTGTTGATTGGCCCCAAGCCGAGTGCTGCTGGATGAGCACGGTTGTCCCGGTTGACACTGTGAAGAAATGGTAAAGTCGTTTCATTGGTTGTCCTCGTAGACACAAGCAACGGAAGAGAGTGGGCACCCGGGTGCATCACAAACACCGAGGCACGCGAGCAACAGTCGCAAGACGCACTCGGAACTCGGAACACATGACAGCAGGGAACGCGCGACAACTTGCCAAAGATTCTAATACCGGAGATACCCCGAATATCCAAAATGACCGATGGACGGCCACGCACTTGCGCACTTGCATAGCTCAAAACCACACATGAGTACTACCACGGTGGCCTTCGTAAGGATGGCATACTCCACCTCACGAACAGCGCCCCCTGCTTCGCCCTAGCCGCTTGGAGATACGCCTCACGCTCCGCCAGAACAGCCGCACGCTCCTCCTCCTGCTTCCTCGCCGCAGCAGCCAGAGCAGCCTCACGTTCCTCCTCCTGCTTCCTCGCCGCAGCAGCCCGAACAGCCTCACGCTCCTCCTCCTGCTTCCTCGCCGCAGCGGCCAGAGCAGCCTCCCGTTCCGCCAAGCGCTCCGCGTCCTCGCGCTTCGCCTGCTCTCGCGCCTCCGCCTCTGCTATCTTCCCTGCAAGACCGTCGCACCACATCTCGTTCAACCGTTGGTACGCCAAAAACTCGTCGTGGGGCAAGAGGATTAATCTGTCTTCCGGCGGGAGCGAGAAAGGAGGAACGAAAAGGGGGGAAATGGACGACAGATGGGCCGCGTCTACGATATCCTCCAGAGAGACACGTCCGGTGTTGTAGGCCCACTCCAGTTCCGCCGGATCTGCTGTGGCGATGTTGTCCAGCAAATCATCGACGGTGAACACCATGGACATGGGGGGGCTCTCGTCTTCTGCACCCGCCGCTGGAAACTGCTCTGCGGTGGGAGCCTTGCCCTCGGGTTCGTAGTCGAGGATTTCCACATTGTCGCCCAGGAGTTCCACGTTGCCGCTGGACATGGTGTCCTCTTTGTTAACAAGAACAGAGAGGGTAGCTACGATCGATTTGGAAAGGGCAGCAGGGCCAGAAACAGTAGATATAGGATAACCAACCGCGGTTGAGGCAGCAGCACCAAGAGCAGCAGAAGCAGTAAAGCCGGGTGCCACTTCGGGAAGAGCAAGCCGAGGTCCATATAAAAGGCGGAGATATCCACAAGATAGCATACGCCCAGTGATAAAAGCTTGGTGCACACGAGGTTGAAGCGGATCCAACCAAGCAGAAAAAGCGTCCAAAAGCACACCATGCCACGCACAAACAGCAGTAGAAGCTAGCACAAAAGGGCCCGTGTTGCATGGA